AGCTTAAAACAACATAAATTTATCCTCTCACAGTTCTGGAAACCAAAAGTCCAAAATCAAGGTCTCATCGGGGCTGTGTTCCCTCTGGAGGCTCTGGGGGAGAATCCTTCCTTTCCTCTTCCAGCTTCTGGTGGCTGTCAGCATTTCTTGGCTTCCCTGGCTCATGAGCACATCACTCCAGTCTCTGCCCCTAGGTTCACATCACCTCTTTTTCTGGTGTCTCTTACATGTGAGAGGACACTTGTCAATGGATTTAGGGCCCACTCAGATAATCCAGGATGATCGCATCCCAAGATCTTTAACTTAATTACATCTGCAAAGATTCTTTTTCCAAATAAGGAAACATTTGCAAGTTCCAGGGATTTGACATAGATACCTTTTTTGGGAGTGGGGAGAAGGTGTTTTTTTGCCTACCATAAGAATTAATATGGCAGACAAGCAGCATGCTCAAAGTCAGACATTAAGTTCTGTCTTATCTTCCTTGGCAGTGTCTTTATATCAGTTGAGTTTCTAGTCTTTATTCTGCGCTGCGTGGGGGTAAGCCCAGAACGTCCCTCCGTGCACACGTGGGAGTGGGAGTCCTCTTCTCCCACTTGCTTCTCCCTGGAATTTTCTCTCACTCTGGCTGCCAGGGAGTCGCTGTCCTTGATCTTTCCAGAACGTTAGTGTGTCTCTCAGAGTTTAGCCTCTGCATTGTGACATTTTCTCATGACTTGGCTCTCCTTCACGGCGAAGTAGCACAGAAAACAAGAGAGAAAGAATAATGCGGGTCCCTCCTATGAGGGGACCCATGTTCCTCGTCCCCTTGTTCTGAGCAGTGGTTTCTCTCGGGGATTCCAGGTGCTCACGCTGCCGCCACCTCCGTGGCAGCAGCTGCTTGATCGTCTGGCCTTCGGACAGAGTCAGGAACAGAAAGACAACGTGTCATGCGTGGTCTTCCCAGATCCCAGACTCACAGGGGGCCCTTCCCAGGCCTCTGCTCAGAACACGGGCTTTTCTCCCAGTTTTGCTGGTCATGATCTATGTCTTGATTTCATGTCAACTCTGGGAGATAAAGGAAGCAAAAACAAGATAAAAAGAGGGCGGGGGGAAGCCACTGCAATCATAATAGTCATTATTCAACGTTAACTTCTCTCCCCAGAGTCCTTGATATTATTTTCTTTAAAGACTTTTAAGCTAGGTGCCTTTTGTATTTTGTCCAGCATATTTAGTTGTGATCAGTGGGAGAAACAGGCTGCAGGGGCCTTATTTCTTCTTGGCTAAAACTGGAATCAATAGCTACTTTTAATAGAAATAAAGGTAGGCAAAGGACAATCGAAAGATATTTGCAATATATTAAAATAAAATGACAATCCTATCTTGACATACATTAGAAATATACCTTATGAATCACG